AAAATGCACGTGCTGAGCTATTATTCTGCCAATTAGATCTCTTGTTTTTCCACGTCCTCGTTACCGTCGCCGTCGTGGTTGCTTAAGGTCCCTAATGAAATACTAGGACCGCTGAACACTACGAGCAATCTTGCAAACCGACATTGAGAGAAGGGAAGGAGCGCATCTGGGGTCTCAGAGGTAAACTGAACATGCGTAAAACACGTGTAAAAGCAGCTAACAAATAAGGCGGCGAAACACGAGATACAAAAACCCTCACCTTGCGTGAAAAGTTGTGAGTTTGATGAAAGACGCGCAACAAAGCCAAAATTAGTTGCTCAAAATAGATCCGCGCTCTGCTTTTAGCAACAACTTTCTGCAACCCGCTACAAATGTTTTTTTTTTTTTTTGCGCGATAAGTTGATCACGCAAGGTGAGAAACGCGAAACATCAACCAAAAACTTGCAATGAAACAACGTTGCTCGACAAGTTAGGGGTTTTTGTTGCTCGTATTTTCGCCGCCTATATTTGCCAAGTAGAACCAACCTACCCAAAGCGCGGGAAAGCACTATTGACTAAGTTGCAAATGGTTTTAGCTTGTAACTGATTGGTTTAGAGGAAAAGCCGCGAGTTGTTGACGAATCACAGTGCGATGCAACCTCCCATTTTTTTCGAAACTAAACACGTCCACAGCAGTGAGAAATTCATTCCAACCTGTATGTCTTACAAGTACGATTAACTTACTCCTGAGCTGTCCTTAAGCTTTCTTCTGCAGCAGCAAGAGCGTCTTGAAGCTAAAGAAAGAATATTTGCAGAAGTCAAAAGGAAAAAAAAATTATTTCTAACCTAAGATCGGCCCAAGCAAAGAAGAACAAGGCAAAGTTTGTACTCAACCGTAGTGGCCCATTTAGCCGGGGCTTGTCCCGGTTTTCTCAGCATGAGGTTTCTTGCAGTATTACTACTCTCCCCTGCATGAGATGCCAAACTAGGGACTTTAAGCAGTCAGGACGGCAACGCCACAGAAGACGTCGATTAAAAAATGGGTTTCTACTTTTAGTTAGAATTTCCAAAATGGCTGCATGTGTTTTACCGTCTCATAGGGCGCCCTGATCTCAAACTCAACATAACGCATAAAAGTAGCGTTGAGTTCCAAATGTAAATTAAAATAATTTGCCGCCGCGGTTTCGCTTCGCAGACGACGAAATTTTGGTGATTTCACGTTGTTGTTTTGCAAAGGACGGCTAAGAAACGTACAAAGTTTTAAAACGCACGTGCTGGGCTATTGTTCTGCCAATTAGATCTATTGTTTTTCCACGTTCTCGTTGCCGTCGCCGTCGTGGTTTGCTTAAAGTCCCTCGTATCGCAAGGTCAACCCCCCTACTCCCACATTTCACCAGGCTTTCCTGACAGTTAGCCGTTTCACATTTAAACCCCAAGGTGAAGAGAGACGCTGTGAGAGTAAAGTCTCTTGCCCAGGGTCACAAAGCAATAACCCGGAAAGGTCTCGAACCCAGTCCTCTCAACCCGGAGTCCACTTTACGCACCATTAGGCTACTGCGTCTCGCCAGCCCAAGGAAAAGACTTCCCTAAAATATTTTATTCCTCACACATCCCCTTCCAGAGTCTGCACAGGCGTTCGGTGATTCAAGAGAGGTACAATGGTAACGCCGTACACAGAAGCCTGTTCAATGTTTCAAGTTAGGGAATGAGGCGTTTTGATGTTGCGAAGTTAAATAATAACAATTAAAAAAAACGAGGGGTCTTGGACGGTAGCGCTCGTCCGAACCGTTCGTCGTTCTGCGCTACTCTCCTGCCCNTTTAAAAGATTCAAAGCGTGGGCTTAATAGCTCCCCATCACATCAGTTCAGCCATTACCTTATGTTCTTTATCTCTGTCTTTAAATTTGTGAAAGAAAAGTTGGAGAGGATGCCAGGTGATGGTGTTTTCAAGGCAGCGGCGTCCTCACCAACAGACTCTGGTGCAGGAACGGGCTCTATGATCTGCACTGGATTTGGATCTATTGACATCAACAATAAACTTTGGTAACTTACGAATAACGGGGGTATAAGTTTCAAAAGAAACTGTGGTACTGTGTTGGTGGGGGTAACAAGGTAATTTGGTTTTATTGACTAAGTTGAAATTGTTCATCTTTAATGTAACTTGAGAATGTACTATAGGTAGAACAATTAAACAGACTAAGTAAAATCAAACAAAATAAAATTAGTAAAATCCAACAAATGCTCGGTTTTTTTTACAAAGAACCAGGCACCAGCTACTTTGGGGTTCACGCTGGCAATAAATTGCAGGAGTGAACATATTAAAACGGTCAAGAAAGACAGTTATAAGAAACACAAAAACACGAACCGGAAGCTACTGATTCACAAACTTTTCGAGTGGTCTTCCAACATCGCAAGTGGGTTTTTACACCAGTAAACCGATAGAAAATGTGGTTTATTCCTTAATAAATAGTCAATGGCGCATATGAACTGATTTTCATAATTAACAATTATTCGCCAAAGGCGAGGCGAATATCGTCGAATAATCCCCGAGACGAAGTCGAGGGGATTATTCGACAATATTCACCAAACCTGAGGCGAATAATTGTTTTAGTATAATTTCAGAGCTGAACAACAGAGAAATGTCTAAAATCATAACATTTTAGAAACATTTATTGACATTTTATTTTAACATTTTACATAAACCGCGTGGAGCGGTTTATATAGCGTCATATAAGGAACCGCTCGACCAATCAGATTGCTGGAAACTCTTTGCTCAGCTCTGAAAATTATACTAATAAGAATTATCAAAAGCCTTTGATTTTAAGTCAGTGATGGCAAGACGATGTATCTTGCTATAAATTAATAGCACAATTGGTCAACAACATGCTAAAAAAACTCAACACACTCGCATGGTCATCTGCAAGTCTCTTGGAGCAACTTAGCAAGAGAGATCGCATTAACTGAGTTTAAGTTTAATGTTCTTTTCATTGCTGATGGAACACTTCTGCTTTTCCATGGAATGAACGTAAAGAGAGAACCTATAATGAACGCTACTAATCCAGGTTTTACCTCTTGCTTTCGTCAGCCATTTTCTCATCTGTTGCTGACTGTCCAACACCGTTGTTCAATTCCTCCAGCGCCTGGACTTGTTGTAATAATTCTGTGCCAGATAAAGGCCCTGAGATGTTGAGGGGAGGCTGTGGTTGCGATATAAGAACCGAGGACCTCTTTGCATCTCTGGTACAAACAGAAATAGTCTTTAATCAATGACGTAAAAGTTACCCGGAACAATTGAGTTTTATGTTCATAGGGTTAAGGTGCATAAATGCACCATAAGGTGCAAGCAAGGG